TGTCTTTTTAATGGCGTTTTGCTTTCTTCATGTGTGATGTCCTTGATATCATCTGTCATGGTTTGAATTATGTCCCCCCAAAAATGTGTGTATCAGTTTAGCTGGGACACGATTCCTGGAATTCTGTGGTTGTCCTCCATTTTGTGATTGTAATATTTTATGTTAAAGAGGATTAGGGTAAGATTGTATGACACCCTTACTAAGGTCACATCCCTGATCCAATGTAAAGGGAGTTTCCCTGGGGTGTGGCCTCCACCACCTTTTATCTCATAAGAGATAAAAGGAAAAGGAAGCAAGCAGAGAATTGGGGGACCTCATATCACCAAGAAAGCACTGCCGGGAGCAGAGCCCATCCCTTGGACCTGGGGTCCCTGCGCAGGGAAGCTCCTAGTCCACGGAACATGGATGAGAAGGCTGACAGAGAGAGAAAGCCTTCCCCTGGCGCTGACACCCTGAATTTGGGCTTTTAGCCTACTTTACTGTGAGGAAATAAAACTTCTCTTTGTTAAAGCCATCCACTTGTGATATTTCTATGATAGCAACACTAGATGGCTAAGACATCATCCCACAACTCATCTGGTCTTTGGTCATTAGTGTTCAGTGTGTCAAATCTATTCTTGAGATGATCTCCAAATTTAGGTTTTGTCATAATTGACTTTTTTTACTTAGTTTTTTTTGAGGTATAATTCACGTCACATAAAAGTCACCATTGTAAAGTATATAATTCAGTGGTGGTGCAGTGGTTAAGAGCTCAACTGCTAACCAAAAGATCAGCAGCCCGAATCCACCAGCCACTCCTTGGAAACCCTAGGGGGCAGTTCTACCCTGACCTCTAGGGTTGCTCCGAGTCGAAATCGACGCGATGACAGTGGGTTTTGGGGTTAAATTATGCATCATCACCACTCTTCTGATTCTAGAATATTTCCATCATCTCGAAAAGAAACCACGTGTAATTCATTTGTTTTTACAATTTGAGATTCACTGCTAAAATTTCTTCAAGTAACTGAGATTTGTTAGTTGCTACAACCCTTTATTGAGTGCTTACCGAATGTGTCTGGCAGAGTGCTAGGTACCTGGAGTTGTTTAAACAGGTAATTTAGTTAATTGTGTTTCCACAGGTTTAGCCCTCTTTTGGTTTAAAGGTGATTATTTGATTTATTGACATTCGTATACTGGCAGCTGATTAGCCTTTTTACATGTCAAAAAAGACCAAGAAAGGTCAGTAACTGTTCTAGATTACAAGAGTCTAAAGATACATGACCGCTAAATGCAGTGCATAAACCTGCATTGGATTCTTGACTGAGAAAGAAAATTAGCCCTAAATTAGGACATTACTGGGACAGTCACCATCATTTGTATATGGAGTATAGATTAGATAATTGTCAATATTAAATTTACTTACTTTGATTATTTTACTGAGTTTATTAATATATATACGCATTGAACTATTTAGGAAGAAAGGTGCACAGTGTGTACAACTTATTTTCAACTAATTGAAAAAATATAAAGAGAATATAAGACAAATGGGACAAAATATAAACAGTGGATCTCGGAAAAACATATAATGACGATTCCTTGTAGTATTTGCACAACTTGCAAGTTTAATAGTATTGTAAAAACTTATGTAAAGTGAAATTAGCCCAATTTGGTTTTGCTCTGTGTCTACTTTTTGTGTTTCACTGTACTTGGTCACACAGGTAGGAAATGGAAGAGAGCCAGGGCTAATGGCAGAGAGGTACTAGCTCTCAGACGGCTTACTGTGTAGTCAGTACATTAGGTCACATATATATAGTATCCTTGATATGTGGATAAGGAAATCATTATCCAGTAATGTTACATGGAAACTATTGATTCCTTAAACATCTAGTGTGTGATATAGACTATATACAATTCGTTATTTAGCAAGCATTTACTTCGAGCTTACTCTCTGCCGTGAATAAATTGGGGCCCTAATAAATGAATCACCTAAATTCTAGAACATGGCTGCCTAAATCCTGGTATAGTACTGCTAGCTGTCTGGTTCCTTGATTGAGTTTCTTTAGTGGGCGAGAGGAAGACCGCCTTTCATAACAGTTTTAGAATACAGAGTCAGGCTGTTGCAACATTACAAGTTGCTTTTTCTATTCTAAAAGCATGCCTTAGCTTTACTATATTGCTTTTTTATCCAGTCTTGATAATTTCTATCCTTTAATTGGAGTATTTGACCATCTGCATTTAATGTAGCCCTTAACAGTTTGAACCTTGTTGATTTGAGATTTTCAAAACCCTAAAAAAAATTAGTAAATATTTACAAATGTACATTTATGAATATTGATTATAAAGTATTTAATAAACATTGAAACATATCTCTTAAGGACCTCTACTAAGCAGAGTTGGCCATAAATGTAGATGGAAAATCTTTTGTATGCATAGGGTGATTTCAGGAGGGCTGGGATGTTTTTTCTCAAAATATCTTTTCAGATTTGCAGACTAATGCTTACGTAAGTAACCTTTATGTGTAGGGTAATTGCCAGTCAACTGTATTAGCCCTTGGCGTGATATTCTTTGTAGTGCCTTGTAGAACAAGAAAGGTAGAAGGAGACTAGCATCATTAATTGCATGCGTTTATATGAAATTCTTTGTTATCAAAGTAAATTTTGTTACACTTTTGTGTATCACTTTTGGAAAGTCAGTAATATGTATCTGAACCTTTTAATAGGTCACCGAGCTGTATATATTGGTGTTC